TCTGTCAATGGAAACTTAAGCTGCTCCCATGTCTTGGCTATTGTGAATAATTCTGCAATGAACATGGGAATTCAGATAGCTCTTCAAGGCAATGATTTCATTTCCTTCAGATATATACTATGCAAAAGTGAGGCTGCTGGATCATATAGTAGTTCTGTTTTTAATTTCTTGAGGAATCTCAAGATTCCCTAGTGGCTGTACGGATTTATTTTCTCACCAACAGTGCACAGTGTTCCTTTTCTCCACGTTCTTACCAAGACTTGTTACCTCTTCTCTTCTTGATGACAGCCATGCTAACAGGTGGGGCCTCACTGTGGTTTGGATTTGCATTTCCCTGATGATTAGTGATGTTGAGCATCTCTCCACGTACCTACTGTCCACCTGTATGTCTCCTTTGGAAAAATGTCATTTCAGATGTTTTGCCCATTTTAATTGGCTTATTTGGCTTTTTACTATTGAATTGTATGAGTTTTTTTCAATGTATTCTGGATATTAACCCCTTATCAGATACATGATTTGCAAATATTTTCCTCCATTCCATAGGTTGTCTTTTCATTCTGTTGACCATTTCTTTTGCTTTGCAGAAGGTTTTTAGTTTGATGTAGCCCAACTTGTCTATTTTTGCTTTTGTTGTTTATGCCTTTGGTGTCACGTCCAAAAAATGGTTGCCAAGGCCAGGGTCATAGGGCTTTTCCCCTGTGTTCTTCCAGAGGTTTTATGTCTTGGGCCTTAGATTTAAGTCTTTAATCCATTTTGAGTTCATTTCTGAGTGGTGTGAGATAGAGTTCCAATTTCATTACTTTGCATATGAATATCCAGTTTTGCCAACACCATTTTTTGAAGAGACTATTTTTTGCCTGCTGAGTACTCTTAGCTCCCTTGTCAAAGATTAGTTGACCATGTATGGATGAGTTTATTTTATTTTAAAATAAAGAAAAAACATGCTATTTACAAACAGATCTCAAACTTAAATCTATGCACTGATTTATTTAGTATTTCTCCAAATGTTTTCCACAGCTAGTGCAGCAAAAACAAAGGATTCTATGGCTTAAAAAGCTTACAAAACACTGACACTACGTTTCTGCCCTACAGATTCAAAACACACATTAACATGAAGGCTTTGAAATCTACAGTACCACAAAGTAATTTTTTAAGTATGTGTTTAAGAATTAAAGACCTGCTACTTTGTAATTCCTACAGAAAAATAGGAGAGTCATTTACAATTAACATCCAGGACAAATCTGTTCAAATTAACAGTATTTCCAGAGCTTTGATTGTCTAACTCCAAAGGAGCGTATTCGTGGAAGAAATACATTTGAGCACATATTCTACATATATTTGCATAATGCAATGCAATCCTTCAAAGTTTTTTGTATGAGGAGTGACTGCTATTGTGCATGAGGTTTCTTTCTGTAGTTTTGAAAATGTTCTAAAATTAGATTATGGTGTACATTAAATTGGTCAGTTTTATGATGTGCTAAGTTAAATCTCAAATAAGTTGTTTTAAAATATTGTAATGTGTATAGAGCCATGACTCAGTTCATTCCAAGCCAAAATAACCAAACTCATTGTAAACCAGTCAGACAGCGGGTGAAGGATGGATTATTCAATACAAGGTGTTGAAAATGTAAAGGTGGATCCTTATCTCACAGTTTTTATCAGAAAAATTCCAAGGCCTCAAGTTGGAAATGTTTTTTAAAAATGAAACAAAGAACTGAAAGTGGGAGAATTCTTTTTATCATCTCAAAGTGGGGAACGCCTAAACACAGTTGAACCTCAAAAAAAAAAAAAGTTTTCATGATAAAAATATTTTTAAAAACACATGAACAAAGTGAAAAAAACAAACTGGGAAAAGTTATTTGCTGCTCCTGTCATGAACCATAGGGCAAGGAATAATATATATATGAGATATATACAAATATTCATCGCACTGTGGTTTATAATAGCGCAAGAATAAAAATATCCCAAATGTCCATCAATAGGGCACTAGTTAAATATAATACATTCATATGATGGATGTTCTATAGCTACTAAAAAGAAAATGAGGTAGCTCTATCTATATACTGATATCGAAAGATCTCCAAGATAAGTGAAAAGGCAAAGTGCAAGAAGTTCATACAGTGTGCCAGAAGGACACACAAGGAATCAGCAACAGTGATTGTCTCTAGAGAGGGAACCTGGATGTCTGGGAGACGGGAAGGAAGGAGAAGAGATTTCCTTTTCACTGTATATCCTTTTTCAGAAAATTTTATGACTCCTAGTCTGTCCCTTCCCACCTGGGAGTTCAAAATTTGTAGATGCTGACAGGCATATGCAGAATAGATAAACAGGATAATACTGTACAGCACAGGGAAATATATACGAGATCTTGTGGTAGCTCACAGTGAAAAAAAATGTGACAGTGAACATATGTATGTTCATGTATAACTGAAAAATTCCACTCTACACTGGAAGACACAACATTGTAAAATGACTATAACTCAATTAAAAAAGTAATAATAATAATAATAATAATAATAATAATAGAAAAAAATTATGACTGTGCATGTTTTATCTGTACAAAAAAAATAAACACTTTGAATACTCTAGACCATATGAAAGTAAGACAACTCAAGCCCTTTATGTGTGTTTCTCAAACACCACAAAAGAGACCTGTAGATCCCAGGAATATTTCTCTAAATCCTTTCTTTTCTCTTTCTTTTGTAATATTCCCATATTCCATAATTTCTCTCTAGTTCTTTTTCCACAAAAACCACACCTTCCCCCCAAAAAAACTTCTCCCCAAGCCTGAATTTTTTTTGTGCCAAGCACTGTTCTAGGCAGTTGGAGATACCAAAGGCTAAGACAAAGATTTCTGCCCTCCTGGAGTTACATCCTATCAGATGCATGAATATAATATTTAAATAGCACAATAAAAATAAGAATAATCTAGTAAGTTCGAGGCTGATGAGTAGAATGGAGAAGAGAAAAAAATAGAGCAGAATGAGGGAGGGTCAGGAATAGCAGCAGGTCATTCGTAATGTTGGGTAAGGAGGTGAGGGTTGGTTTTAATGAAGGGGCAGCATCTGAGCAAAGACATAAGCAGATGAGGGAGTGAGACATGAATGCATCTTGGAGAAGAGAGTTCTAGGCAGAGGGAAGAGCCAGTGTGAAGGCCCAAAGGCAGAGCATACCTGGCATCTTTGGGGAACATCCAGGATTCCAGTGACTGGAGCTGAGGACATGGGAAGGAGATTAGAGGAAGATGAAGTCTGGGAGATGAGGATGGTGGGCGACCAATCAAGCAGGGCCTTGAGGACCATGGACCATGAGGCTTCTGACTTTGAAATGAAATGAAAAACCTTTACAAAGTGATGCCACTGTAGTTTTCCATTGTAATCCACGCCTGTTGTCATCTTGGTGAACTGAGTCACAAGCCTCGGCTGGCCACTCACCACCATACCATCATCACCTTGCTCCTCAGTTCTGATGAGGATTTTAATGGACAACCATTCTGAGTGTCTTTCAAAATCTTCTAACTGGGGGAGAGGGGAGAGTATAGCTCAGGGGTAGAGTGCATGCCTAGCATGCACAAGGTCTTGGGTTCAATCCCCAGTACCTCCATTAAAAATAAATAAATAAGCCTCATTACCTCCCCCTCAACGAAATTTTTAAAAACAAATAAACAAAATTAAAATAAAAATTAAAAAATCTTCAACTGGGGATGCTTTCAGCATTCATACTGCGTACAGATCATTCTCCAGTGCATTTGTCAATGAAAGGCAACTCATTTGTTCGATGAGTGCATCTGTTTTGGTTGTTTTGATTTATTCCTTCTTTGAGCTCCTTGTGGCCTGGCTGTTGGAAACATTAGCATCCTTTTTTCTGAGCACATCTTTAAAATGTCTGCATCCTCTGTCACCATAATCTTGACTCTTATTGCATGCTCCATCATAGACTGACCCGCACCTGTTGGCATGTGTGTTTCCAACATCACCAGTGTCTGAGATGCCACTGCCCAAAGCACCTTCTCTCCAGATCACTTTAGTCCCGCTTAGAACCAGCTCCTGGCCCCAGTTACAGCGTCTCATCCCATGCCTGGCTGAAACCCTCCTTATACATATCTGTTCTCTTCTTTCAAATCCCTTCTCAAAGCCTCCTCTAATCAGCTGTTCTTCTTTTTTTTCCCCAAGGGAGAACTAGCAATTTAATCATCATGTCTTGTTTTAACTGGCAGAGGTTTGGATAAAAGATTCTTTCCATTTTCTTTCATCTGAGGCACCTTTGGAAGGGCTAGTATGTTTATCAGATCTGCTGGTAAAGAAAGTGCCTTAATCCCAGTTGAATAATGGGATAAGTAATTCTGAGTTTGTGCTCTATAAGTAGACAGCAAAAATGTTCTCTTTGATTTTTTTTTTTTTTTTGGTTTTATTGGAAGGGACAGGACGCTGGTAACGTGGAGGTTTGGTCAAGGATACAGAACCTGTATTTGGATAAGTTGCTTCAGTTTTTCACTAATAAGATTTCTAGGAATCAGATGTATCTCAAATGACATGTGCACACTGTGTTTTTCTCAGTTTGTCATTCCAATGCTCTGGCAAATTTCTATATCTAATTCCAAGATGTTGCAATGTCCCCCTGGGCACCATAAAAGTGGTACAGTGTGCTGGCTAATTTTCTGGTGTGGCTGTCAGAACACACAGAAACTCCATCCAACTGCTTTTCCCACATGTTATAATTATTTCCTTTGGGCAAGTATGCACCAGGCATGTATGTCAAGCCTCGCACAGGTTTCTTATTAAAGCACAGGCCCAACCATGCAAAAACCACTCATTTACACCGCCCCAGAACCACATATATGCATTGTCCCATCCTCGATGCTGATAATCCTAAAGACCATTAGCCTAGAAAATTGTGTCCCCAGCCTATATGCCAAATGCCATGCTAATAAACGATCCATCACTCTCAGCTGCCCAGCTTTGTGGAGGGAAATACCAAATCTCATTGGATCACAGCTGAAGGGACCTGCTGCCTGCTTCACTCGGAGCACGTGGCTCTGCATGGATTAATTTCACTCAGCTCTTTAAGGGAACCCCAGTGCTAACAGATTAATGGGATATCGTGGCATTGTATCCTGCAGGTTTTGAATTAAAGTTTGAGACACCCCCGTGACTCAGGACATGCAGAGTTCTCCAATTAGCACTAATTGGCATGACACATGATTCTCAAGTGAAAAACATGATTTTCCTGAAAATGTCACTTCCTTTCTCTTGCTTTAAAAAGCCCATAAATTCTAAGGAAACGACCACGGGTGCATGCAAATGTTAGCTACGAGGATGCCTACCTAGCACGGTGTTTATACTGGCAAGAAACTGGAAGCGCATGTCTGTGACAGGGAACAGAGTACATAAAAAACAGCAGGACAAATGCAACAGTTTTTTAATCTTCTGAATACTTTTTGACATGGGAAGACACTCATGACACACTAAGTGAAAAAAGTTAAAGAGTTGCAGGAATGATATGATAGCAATTTTCTTCAGAGCACAGAAAAAGAGACCAGAAAGATGTAGACATCAAAATGTAAAGAGTAATTATCTCTGGGTGTAGGAATAACATTAATGTTTATCCTATTCATTTGCATCTCTAATTTTCTTTCAAAAAATGGGCACTTTTTCAAAGAAAAGACATCTGTTTTCAAAAGTCCATCTTTGATTCCTGCAGGAAAAAAAATGCAATAAAGTGATTTATTTTGAGATAAACAACAAGTTCATACTTTCTAGCATAGTGAACTATATTCAGTATCTTGTAGTAACTTATAGTGAAAAAGAATATGGAAACGAATATATGTATGTCTATGTATGACTGAAGCATTGTGCTGTACACCAGAAATTGACACAACGCTGTAAACTGATTACACTTCAAAAAAAGACATGTATACAAAAAAAGTGACTTATTTTGGAATATTTTAAATCAGGACTTCATCTCCACCCACCCTTGTGTGGGGCACTGAGAACTCTCCATCAATAACATCTGACCCAGTGGAATAATGAGGGTGAACAGGGGCTTTAGACACGCGTGGAGAGGTGAGCACTGGGGGGGATTGTTGCAAATGCCCTTTCTCATGTTCAGGTCTGCCAGAACCCCCACCTAAGAGGGTGCATTTATGTCCGCGTGTTTCTCTTCCAGAACCAAAGATGTTTGTCTTGCTCTATGTCACAAGTTTTGCCATTTGTGCAAGCGGACAGCCTCGCGGCCATCAGTTCAAAGGGGACAGCTACTCCCCCAAATACATCTGCAGCGTTCCTGGCTTACCCGGACCTCCAGGCCCCCCTGGCGCAAACGGCTCCCCGGGGCCCCACGGTAGGATCGGCCTCCCAGGACGAGACGGTAGAGACGGCAGGAAAGGAGAGAAAGGCGAAAAGGGGGCTGCAGGTAAGGGATGAATTTCCATAAACACTCCTCTGTCACCCCCACCTTAAAATGACTCCCTTGCTTTGTCTCTTTTTCTAACAAGACTAGCTCCTTAAATCCCCACTCTACGTCACCTTTATTCATCATAGCAACTCACTGAGTCCTCACTGCGCTTCAGACTCTGCTCCCAATTGTCTACCTGCATTCCCATTTCCCTGTAATGACAGCTCCTTCAAGGGGCCGTGATCATGCTGTACAGATGAGAATACAGAGCGATAGCATGACGACACGCATAAATGGGGACAGAAGTGAACTGCTAGTGAAGCACAGAGCTGGATTCTCCTGGAACACCTGAAGCCCGTGACTGCTGGGCTGGTGCAGCTAGCAGGCAGTGGCTGGATGTGAGAGCATGGATGGATAGATAGACAGATGCATGGGGAGGAGACAGACAGATGAAGCGGGGGCAGAAATTAGGAGCCAGAGGCACAGACGCCATCCTGCTCTGCACTAATATCCTGAACAAAGGCACAAAAAGGCTTCTAGATTTTGCTTTTCACAGACGACATGACAGTAGTATTAAAAAGCCTATCTTTCCCAGTTCAACACTTTCCCACCTGTCCTGTAACAGCTAAAAAAAATAGATGTCTTATAGCTTATAGCTCTGTACAGCCACACAGTTGTCCTCTGCTCATTCAGTAGTTCTCACTTTTTTCCCGTGTCAATCACCCACAGCCCCTAGCACAGTGCCTAGCATGTAGTGGATGATCAGTCAGTATTAGATGGTTTAGATGGATGCATGCATGCACATGTAAATCTAGGATGGACTGATGCGTGGATGGATGGATGGAAAAAAGAAATGGTACTGAAGAAAAACTCCTTGTAGACTCATTTCATGAAGAACTAAGAAGAAATCCTTTCTCTCCAAGCTTCAGTATCTAAGCATAGACTAACACTCCATAATTCTCCTCTCTACCAAGCAGATGTCTGCCCTGAATAGGGAGGGGAGGATGATTTATCCCTTCATTCCGTTCTTTATTAATTGTCCCTTATCACAAGGGCAAATCCTTTATGCAAACAGGAAGAATTTCAATAAATTATTACAGCTAGCCCTTGATTAGCTAACTCTCAGCAGTTCAAAATGTTAAATAGCTACAGAAATCCAGGTGTTGAGATTGTAAAGACTTTTTCATGGCTCACACTATAAAGTTGTATCTTAGTATTTTTGGCTTGGTCTCAAAGAATTTTCAAGAGGATGAGACCTCTAGCATTCTAGTCCAACACCCTCATTTCAAGAACCGGGAAACTAAAGTCAGAAGGACAAAGCCCTTTCTTCAGACTCATCTAACTAATCCAGGGCTGGACAAGGGCTTTTTCAAGTCTACTGAGTCACTGTCTACTACTTTCCCCACTAGGTTTAGACTGGATTTAGATCCAATTTCTTCACAGTACAAATGGGTCATTTGAAACTCAGACAAGAAGTGACTTGACCAAAGTTATAGAGGCAGAGGAATTTCAATACATAATGAAATTTAATGGTAGGAATTTTTACTGATGTCAAAATGTGTTTTTATTGCTGTATCTAAGGTCACTGATTAAGACAGCAAAAGTTAAGCTCCTACTGAACATAAAATAACAACGTATAAGTTGTGTTAGTCCTTGATTCCAAAGTTAATTTAACAGTAAAATAGTACTCATATTCCATTTCTACCAAAAAGAAGCAAACATTGAAAGATCAGACTATCATGGCCTTATTTCAAGAAATAAATACCAGAGTGTGTTCTGACTGGGGCCAGTGGAATTTCAACCTAGTAACAGAGGTCATGTAGAACCGGGGGATGGTCCTGGGGTCAGTAACAATGCTGACCCTAGTCACCAAAACACAGTTGCTAATTCATTATTAGCATCTTCCGTGCATCACAAATTATTAAACAACCTCTTCTAAAATTATTAAAAAAAAACTTGATGTTTTAAGGGTGAGGATTTCATTGTCCTAAAACTTGTAGTATCCAGAATGCTTCATTGCTAAATTTGCCAAATAACTAAAAAATGGTCAGACTCATATTGATGTATGTGTAATATTCAAATAAGTTATATTAAAGCACTATCAAGATAAAAGGCTTAGCTTCATAAAGGTTCCTCAGAACAGATAATATAGTTAAGAGTAAAGCTATGCAATGTAACAACAATGTAGTTTCCCTGACTACAAAATTGCATTACAAATTACCAATAATTTGGATACTTTTCAATAAAGTATCATTATACAAGCACTATTTATGGAATGCTTTTGACAAAAAAAATTGAATGACATTTTGATGCTTCTAAACACTGTTATTACATATATGACTTAAACATTAAATAGATTTTACTTATCACTTTCAAACCATGATCATAATTTCTCTCCATTTGGCCTTTGATTGATCTGTAGATATAAAGATCTGAACAAACAGAAAATATTCCTGTATGATGATTTTGAATTTGTTGAAATCCTTCCACAACTCTCGTATCTTTTCTATACACATGGAGACCCAGAGAAATCAAAAGATCTGTCTAAAATAATACAACCATTTAGCTGTGGTGCCAAAAAGAATTAAAGCTTTTTCATTTCAGCCCCAAAGGTAAGAGGCATTTTGGTGACGGGGAAACTTGGATTCCAGTCCCAGCCTTGCTACTAAAGCAAGTTTCTTCACCTCTCTGGGACTCAGTTTTCTCCTCCAAAAAAGAACTACATGCAGTGCTGACAGTCATCCTTGCTTAGTTATCGTGCCATATTGAAGAGCCCTCGCTGTGTTGCAGGTGCACTTTACAATTTATACTCTGGCCACTGCCCCAGGAGATGTTCAGGCACCAGAGTCAGGCAGGCATGAGTTCAGATCACAGCTCCATCACTCACTAGCTCTGTTCCCTTGAGCGAACTACCTTCTCCATGGCTTAGTTTTCTCATCTACAGTGAAAGTAAAATGAAATCCTAGTTCATAAAGTTATGGCAAGACTTAAAGAAGATAATGCATGCACACAAAGCATTGCCCCTGGTGCATGCTAAATGTTCAATAAATATGAGCTCATCTAATTTTGACATTTTTATTATTAACACTGATAGAAGGAGAATGGGGCATGAAACTAAGTAGCCTCTAAGCATTCGTCTTGTTCTCTCTGCCCCCATGATCCCACTCCGGGGGATAATATCATTGTGCCCACTGAATTCCTCCTGTGGTGATGAGTATCTGTATGTGACTAGTTTAGCAGCAGGTGATCCATCATCAAAATGATGGTTAATTATTTTAAATTAATTGGGATTTAAATGACTTCCTACACATGCAAGAAGTTGTTCTTGATGTTCTGATGAGATTTTTCTATTTCCACTTTAATGCATCAGTGATTTTTTAAAATATTAATTATTTAGTAGTATACTGTTGAAATTGACTGAAAAGACAAATTTAGGGTCTGTGGGCATGTTGCTTGTGACTCTATATTTACAGAACCTACTAATTCCACTATAAACTCTGTTTGAAGGTCTGAGAGGTAAGACCGGACCACTGGGCCTTGCTGGAGAGAAAGGGGACCAGGGAGAGACTGGGAAGAAAGGACCCATGGGACCTGAGGGAGAGAAAGGAGAAGTAGGTCCTGTTGGGCCTCCTGGACCAAAAGGAGACAGAGGGGAGCAAGGGGACCCGGGGCTGCCTGGTGTTTGTAGATGTGGAAGCATCGTGCTCAAATCTGCCTTCTCTGTTGGCATCACCACAAGCTACCCAGAAGAAAGGCTACCAATCATATTTAACAAGGTCCTCTTCAATGAGGGAGAGCACTACAACCCTGCAACAGGGAAGTTCATCTGTGCTTTCCCTGGGATCTATTACTTTTCTTATGATATCACATTGGCAAATAAGCATCTGGCCATTGGGCTGGTACACAACGGGCAGTACCGGATAAAGACCTTTGACGCCAACACAGGAAACCATGACGTGGCTTCGGGGTCCACGGTCATCTACTTGCAGCCAGAGGATGAAGTCTGGCTGGAGATCTTCTTCACTGACCAGAACGGCCTCTTCTCAGACCCAGGCTGGGCAGACAGCTTGTTCTCCGGATTTCTCCTCTATGTTGACACGGATTATCTAGATTCCATATCAGAAGATGATGAGCTCTGATCTGCTGTCCCAAATGTCCCAGGATCCTTGTGGAAGAAACTTTGACTTAATCTGGGGCCCTGGAAGGTGGAAGAAGAAGAAATGAGATCCAAAAAAGACTCCCACTCAGACTCCAGAGCATTTACAGACAGTTCTAGCAGGATCTATTAAAAGAAGTTAAACCACCAAACCATTGAAACCACAACAGAATGAATTATATAAAACAATAACCCCAGATACGTTCTCTCAAAAGCAATGTTCATAAATATTTAAACAAATTAAAGACAATGTTACAAATTCTATTAAATTCCGTGAGTGCTAAAAACCAGCTGGCAATGATATTGTCTCATTAAATCTTTGTAAAATTGCATTTCTGCCTATTATTTAAGAGAATCATAACATCCCAAATTCCTTGACAATTCTCAAAAGGCTACAGTAAGTAAAAAAAAATAAAATTAAGGTAAGAGTTGCCAAGTAATTTCAAGCAAGCCAAAGTGAAGTGATTTTTTTGTTGTATTATTCATTCCCTTATGCTTGTATATATTCACTCAACAACTCTTTAATGAGCCTGTATGAGCCAGACGCTATGATGCTGGATCAGATTCAATAATGAGTTAAGATAAAATTCCTACCTTCATACGGGCTAGTGTGTGATCTGCATGCTGTCACAGCTCAGCATGATGAGCACCATGGCAAATAGACTGACTCAATGCTGGAGGCACAGGACCTTCTCTTCCTAGGAGTGGGGGCCAGAGCATGGAAGGACACCATATGTGCTAAGGTGTGTATTGTTAAGTAAGTGGGAGGGGTGCAAATAAAACAAGGAATTCAGCAGCTGCATTCTCCCCACTTCATCCTCAAAACACCATTGGTATTTGAATCAAGAAGTGGTGGAAAATCTAGATACCCCAGGAGGAGTAATCAAAATGAAAAGAAACAAGTTACAGAGACCAGTTAGCAGATCATTCTCCTAGATTCTTTACTGTGATGGTTTCCCAGGACAAGTATTTGTCCTCTCAGCTTTCTTGCAGATACTCAGGCACTCTCACAGGCACTACTTTACATTGTAGCAGGACATTGTTTTAATGGATTTCCCAAGTATTGAATTCAAATAAAATGAAGTATCTATTCACTGGTTTATGAATGAGTTGATGGGAGGAGTAACAGGAGGAGGAGAGGGCATGATCAAACACCAGAGCAAATGGCTGTCCCGTCCAAGTTTCACACATCCCTTAGTCCCACTCTCTCATAGTGGTGACATCTTGTTCCGCACTGAACTGCAATTCCTCAGTTAATCTCACCCATAATTCTCTCACCCCCACTCCCTTGGCTGGTAGTAATGGTATTTCCTTGCATCATGTGACCCTCCTTCTATGTACTCCTCCCTTTGCTCATTCAGTTAATAAATATGTTTTAATGTCTCCTACATATGAATCACCACATTGGGTTCTGTGAAGGTAAAACAACACCAAGATGAATATGGTGCAGCCCCTGTCATCAACATTTCTAAGGATACAAGAAAGGAAATGACATGCACGCACACACAAAATACCTAGAATTCTGGACATGAACGTGCTAAAACATGCTAAGTGCTAAATGGGAGACAGAGACAAAATACTTTGGAAGGAATGCTGAGGAGGAAAGATTAACTTCCAAGTTACAATGTGAGAGAAAACAGCTAGAGAAATCTCTGCCCCCTGGGTCAGAAGTGACAGAGAGGACTTGGAGTGGCCAACGTGGGGGAAGGGCACTTCAGAGAGAAGTTGTAATAGGGACAGAGCATGAAAGTGAGAACAGAAACCCAAAAGAGAAATCCATGAGCCATACTTGCAAGAGTCCCAAACGTCAACCTAGGGATTAGGGACTTTACTTGTGGGAAAGTGTGGAGCCCCTGCGCATTCCAGAGCTGGGTTGGCCATTACCAAGGGTAAAATTTGCAATGACCAAGCCACTGTGCACAGGGGCAGTCCTTGCTTCTCCCATCTCTCAGGTCTGTCTTGCTTCCTTCGTCTTCCTCTGCCTTCCGTGCTTTTTCCACTTGTTGCTCTGCCTCTGAGTCAGCATGTGGGTCTGGGAGGCCGGGGCAATAAAAATTAGACCAAGAAGTGAGAGAAAAGGTGGTTTGACATAGTCACCTGCCTCTGAAGAGCAATTGAACCTGGAATTCCCAGCTGTAAATTAAAAAAAAAAAAACCCACCAACAGAAGAAGCTAATCTGGGGAATAACAAAATACGTGCCTTTTGAAGACCATGGGATTCACTGGAGAAACTGGAAATGGAGAACTTATTGCCGACAGTCATGACTCAGAAGATTATTATGTGGCTTAAATTTTTGTTCTGATCATGATCCTTTAATGCATTCATTTTTGGGACGTTGTTTACTTTCTTATCTCCTAAATGTTTCTTTTATTACAAAGCCTATTTTGAGTAGCTTTTTAAACTGAAGTTTCTTTAGCTGGTTCTAGGCCAAGTGATGAATTTTATTTTGAAATATCTGGCAGGATAGTGGCAGGGATCAGAGAGCTAAAGTGGGAATGGAAAGGCTATTTTGGTATTAAAAGGATAAACTCTTATACAAAAGCAGTTGTCTTTTATCCCCCCCCAAAAAAAACAGATACAATTTATCTACCTCTACTGATATTTGTGTAAGGAAGAACGATTTTGATTTAAAAAAACCCAAGTCTCATTCCTGTCATCTTTTGTAAGGGCTGACTTTTAATGAATATGTATTAAGAAATATTTATTGACACTGTACCATCTCATTCCAGAAGGATTTAAAGCCACTTACAAAGATTGATAAACTACAGAACGAATACATTAGTCAGCAGCGGATGAGAAGAAAAGGGAAAAATAAACAAACAGAAAAGAAAAGAGTAAGGCTAACACAAAACTGTGTGTACGTGAACATGTGTGTACCTATGTTACACATCTGTAGGACACATGTGTTTCCTTGTACCCGTGTGTGCATAAGGGCATCCTAAGGTCATCCATCATTTTGTTTGTGATGAAGCAAAAAGGAATCCATAAACTCTAAATCTACTTTTTCTCTGCCACTCAATGAAAAATAGCATGGACATAACTACATTTTAGATATTAGCTATTTGTTGTTTTATACCTTCCTCTTTCTCTCTTTCCTTCTGTACCTCCACTTAGAGTAAATGGCCTCACTACTCACCCTGACCCCAAAGCCAAAACCTAAGGAACAGTCTAGATGTCGTCCCTCCCTTCCCCAGGGAATTTTGTTCAGCAGAAATGTTTATGGTTCTAGCCCTGCATGTACATTTCTGAGTCATTGCAGGTTTCCACTCCCAGTGCCGAGGTTTTGTTCATATACTCATCATCTCTTCCCTGGACTAGTAGGAACCTTTTCCACTGAACCTTTGGCTCTGGCCACAACCTTCCAATCCATTCTTCACACTAGGTTAGATTCATCCTTCTCAATTACAAATATGGTCATGTCACTCCGTAGCTTAAAAGCCAGCAGTGGGCCTCCAGTCTCTACAATATAAAACGTGTCTTGAACTTATTTGGGTTTTGCAACCTGAAATGCATGCCCCTTTTCTGCTATTCATACCCAGTTTCCTCCTGAAGGACCGTCATCCCTTGTATGCTAGGTCTTCGAGTTTCTAAGTAGAACTGACTCTTGCAGTTTGTAAATCTCTGGCCTGGTTAGTCAGAACATAGTATTCCACTCACCAATATAATTGGTTCAGGGAACTCAAACAGAGCCACGAGACTTTGCTGGGACATCTACAGAAGAGAATCGCATTCTTTCCCATTGGACTTAAACCTGTGAGCTCCTAAAAGCCATCTCACCATCACAAAGCATAATATCATCGAAGAATGGAGATATGCACAGATGAAGTTGAAAAATGGAGATAAAGGATAGAAATGTGACTTGGAGTCATCATTGGGGTCCTGATCCAGACATGTCTATAATAGCCAGCTCTCCCTGTGACTTTTCAGTTATGACCACCATTAAATGCCATTTTCACTTAAGCCCTTTTGAGGTGGGTATTCAGCCACTTGAAAAAGATGTTATCCTACCTAATTTTTCATGCAAGCACCCTTTAGCTGGGCACATTAGACTCTTTGGGATCTAACCTCTGCTTACTTTCATAGTCACATCTCCAAAAGTCACCCATATGCAACCCATAACCCAAGCAAATGCAGATAACTGTGGTCCCAGGATGCCTTGTTTCTGCATGCCTCAGGACCTCTGCACGTGCTGTTTCGTTTGCTCGTAATGCCATTGCTGTCTTTGTCTGTCTGATTAGGTTACCATTCAAAGCTCAGCTCAAAAGCCCAGCTCCTTTTCTCTAATCTCCCTCTACCTCTTCCCCTGTGCCCAAGGGGAACCACAGGTGACCTCAGGTGTCTTCCTTACCACCTGGAAACTAGTACATAGTCACAGTAGCAAGAGTGAACACTTACTGAGCACTCTCAATTTTTTTGCTTGTCTGAACTCACTTGATCTTCACAACAATTATTCTCCCCATTTTACAGATGAGGAAACTGAGAGACAGTGAGGTTAAGAAATGTGTAAGTGGCACAAGAAATGGTAAGTGGCACAGCAGAGCCAGGCAGTCTGGCTCCAGAGTCTAGTCTCTTCATCATCATGCTGGGTCCTTATTCTATTTCACACTCATTTCACAAAAGTGTCATCATACAGCTCGTCTGTTTCTCCTCTGGTCCATCTGGTGGAGATTTGTCCTATTGTCTTTACGTCCCAGGACTGTACGCAGTGTCTTCCCTAATCTGTGCTCAATAAAAAATGTGATGACTTAATCAGTGACAAGTTCTTCTGAAATACAATCTTTGCACATGGAGAGAGAGACAGAGATCACCACAGAAAAGCTCTATGATCGTCCCGTGAATTCATCAAGACTCTTAAGATTACAACTGACAGAATCCAACTCAAACTGGCTCAAGAAGAGGGAAGGCACTGAAATAACACAGAGTCCTAGAGCCATATCTGGGTACTTGTTCACTGTCCCCAGGACTTCATCTCTCCCCGTCTCACAGGTCGGCACTCACCAGTACGGACTTCACTCTCAGGCAGGCTCTTACCCTTGTGGTAGCCAGCCACCAACAGCTCCGGGTTTGCATTTTGCACCTCTGCGGGCAAAAATGTATGTATTTCTCTTTCTCAGTGGTCCCAGCAAAAGACCCGGGATGACATCCTGTTAGTTCCAACTGGTCCTGCTTGAGTCATAATTATGTCGCTTAGTCGGTGACTGGCCAGAGGGATGTGGTGTTCCCATTGGCCATGCCTGTATCACGAGGCCATCTCTAGAGCTAAGAACAGAATCGGTCCCACCTAAGTCATACGGAAAATAAAGATACCAAGCCCAGGAAACGAGAAGTTGTTGACGGTCAGTCAAAAGCAACAGGTGACCTCTGTAGGCTGTTTTCATATAAAATCAAAACCGCATTTATTTTGTCTGCATGATGCAAACTAAATGTGTTGCCAGAATGATTTTTCTCATAGAGAACCTAATTTTTGATAATATTTTGTCAGACTTGACTAAATACTGTGTCCTCTATCCCCCTGGCATCTGTGATGAGCTCTTGCTACAGGCTGCCAGAAGGCAAGCTCCCAGTCAACACTTTTAATGGAAGAATGGATTATTCTCAATTGAAATCTTCCCCTCTCACTTTCTGATTTTTTACGTCAGTACCCTAAAATGACAACAATCTATGTGCTTATCTTTGATAATTGTAAAAAGAAGGAGGAATTACCCTTGGAGATTAGTCTCTTTGTGGAATCAAAAAATGGCCAGTAAATCCAATTCATTCCTTGGCCAACAAAATGATAACTGAAGTGGCGGTTTGAAATGCCACCCGAGGTCAGCGACTGTGTTGCTGTCTTCGTGTTCTCCTGCTTGTTTACTGAGAGATCGTCCGTGGTGCCTGATGATACCAGCAGCTGTAGGAACCAGCACCATGATGGGTCCTGTTAGCCCTGGACCTTACTTCATCCTCAAGAAAAGCAGTGCCTGTCTCCCACCTCGCTCCCACTAGAAGGAGGAGCAGCGTATGGGCATGTCAGGAGCCCCAGTGCTGGGATGTTGCTTAAGAATGACAAGGGAGGAGGTCAGAGTTGAAGCCACATACCAAGATCTCTACAAATTCTTCCCTCCTGGGGATGTGCCACTCAGGGTCCAAGCAGGGAGCAGCAAGACACCCTCAAAAGGATTTGACTATAGAGAATACAGTGGAACAACTGCATTCAGAAGTGCAGGCAAGGTTAAAAGAACCGAGGACAGGGGTTGAGGCATCCAAGCACTAGCGACAGCAGGAAGCATCACCACTCCAAGGTCTGAAGTGGAAGGGTGGCAACACTGGTTGCTCATGCAGCAGAGAGCTTGAGACTCAGAAGAAGAACTTTCTCCAGGAACCATGCCTGGAGAAGAGCCTGGCCACCACTAGAACCAGGAAGAAATGTGGAGGAGGCTAAGGTGGTAAATCTCTGACCACACTCTCTTTCTACCCTCCAGTCTCCCATCTGTCACCTCCCCCTGGCCAAACCCAACAGCTCTGGGAAGCAAGGGAGGCTTGGTAACATCATGCACAGAGACGGGCTTCTCAGACAATGAGCAGTTCAAAGTAGGACAGAAAATTGATGGGGAATCAAGAACTGGGGTGGGACCAGGTGGAAATTAAACAGCACAGGGCTCCTTTCTTTAATGCCTTCCCTCTGTAGAGTCTCCCAAAAATTCATATCAAGAGGATGCAATAGAACTGGTACCCCATCTTGAGAAGGACAGAAGGGACACCTTCCAGAGCTGCTTAGGGCTGCCTGTAATTGATGCACAAGGAGCCCTCAGGTCTCACAGTGGTCCAGCTCCACTCACAAGAAAATGACATTGGAGTTTGGGGCCAAAGCTTTGCAGTGATGAACAGGTTTTGATAAAGTGTCCACTCCTTAAGTCCCTGTCTTAAACTTACAACAGCCACAAGTGGCTGTTGATACATTCAAGGGTTCAAGATTCTAGCCAAATAGCTTTCCAGCTCACTATGAGTTAAGCACTCCTCTTATCCCGTTAAAGATGGGAAACTCGAGGCTCAGAGCCATTGAGCAAAGTGACCACAGTCAAGCTTTACACACGTGCGGTTGGAACTCTTGCCTGCTCACCTCCGGTGCCCGAGCTTCTTCGTGAGCACACACACCTGCACTACCCACCCTCCAGACCATTTTGCTGAGACACTGTTTCGTAGACAGGTTGCTGCACAGTGAGGAGAAAGCCCCTCCCTCGCTCCTCTTCCTTTGGTGCTGGTAAATGTTGTTTCCCTCCTATTCAGCTGGGAGCTAAGCTATCACTGTCAGTATCAAGACCTGCTCAAGCACAGCCAAGATATCCAGGGTGGACAGACCAGGAGGCTATGCAAATGTTAAGAAGCCAAAACTGCACCCACCTCCCTCACTCTGCACAAGAAACAAAGACTGGCCCTAAGACGGGTGCTAGGTCTAGGGGCTCTGGTTTAATTCTACCAAGGAGGACCCAGGAAATCTTTTAGCATCATCATTATACCATGTGTTTAGGAAAATCCAGCAGTTGAATTCCTTTCAGTTTTCTTTACAAAACATGCTGAATATGTTGGGGAACTAAGGAGTCTTTTGGGGAAAGAATTTTTTTTAAAAACTATAGAATTTGCCACTAGGATTGTTTAAATGCTGTGCCATGGTTTCCAAGAGACACACTGACACTGATACTCCTTTTCTTTCTGTTCTACATCAGGACTTCTCAGCCTCAAGCAACTCTGAATTTGGGGCCAGACCATTCTTCACTATGCAGTCCATCCAGTGCATCCTAGGAAGTAGAGCATGCTTGGCCTCCACCCAGGAGGTACCACTAACAACTCCGCTCCCAACGTAACAATCAATGATATCTCCAGACACTGTCAAGTGTCCCCTGGGGGCAAAATTGTCCCCAGATGAGAAGTTCTGTATAATATGATCACAGTGGCGGAGTCCACTCAGTCCTCACAATCTACCTGTTTCCCAAGGACCATTTTCCAAATAATTTTTTTTTTTTTTTTTACAGACAACCACATGGCTGGTCAGCATTTCAGGTAAGATATTTGGTCCCTTCTGAGAATCCCTAGTTGAACTGTTCCCTGTCCTGGAAAGGCCCAAAAGGCAGCTAGAAACTATGCCTTCAATCCAATTCCCTCTGACTATAGCCAAAATATTTCATTTTTGTTTTGTCTAGGATACAAAAATTGCAAAGTCTCCAACTTGTAAGAATGCATTCCAAGAAAATAATTAATAATGTTTGCAAAGATTTAATTACAAGAAAAAGCCTTGCGGCAAAGTTTGGAATAAGAAAGCTGGGAAATAGCCTAAGTGTCTGAATACAGAATAGTGATGAAATGCACTGCGATACATTCATCTAATAGAATATACATGGTGTCATCGAAGGTCATGAGGATGAAAGTGCACTGGTACCATAATCTGCTCATGAAATATTAATAGATCAAAGTAGATTACAAAAAAAGTATTCTCAGCAATTATCCTATTTTTAAAGTCTGTGTGCATGTGTGCATAGAAAAAGTCTAGATTAAAAGTAGTTACTAATAGGAGAGTTTTCATTTCTCCCCCTTGAATCTTTCAATTTTTATAATAAACATATTTTACAGACAACTTCTTTTACATAAGCTCTCAGATAGTCAAGGTAGTTGCACCTTATTATGACCCCAAAAGATGGCAGAGAAAAAAAGTCTAAAAAGAGGAAAACACCTTAACATTTTAGGTGGACACGTGCACCAGCCTTGATGTCTTCTTGTGGCACACTTGAATGTCTATTCCAGAAGATTCTTTAAGGCAAGAATAAAACAAAATAACCCTAGTTTATATATATTTTAAATGATCCCACCCTAACTTGAACAGGGAAGGAAATGAGTCTTGAATTGACATCATTTTATGGAGTTTTTATTCGCCAGGAACTATAAACCCAGTGGGTTAACCACAGCGTGAAGTCATTCAGAACCAATGCATTTCTTGGATGGACAAGGTGTTTATGAGCAGCCACATGAGGAAGACTGAAACCATGGCTTCGCTCCAGTGCCATCACAGAGGTGGCAGAATTTATTGAAATAAAATCTTGCTCAATCTGGTCAGAATTCCAAGAAGTGATCTGAAATCACTGGAAGTAGAAGAATTATAAACTCTTAAGGCATTACATAGATGCTCTCAAATTACAGCACTTTTACAAGGCTGCTTGTGAGATGCTGTCTTGGCTGAAAGAAATAGTCAAGACAATAGTCTCAATAATCTATCCCACCAACAGTGTAGGAGGGCTCCTTTTCCTCCACATCCTTTCCAGCATTTATTATTTGTGGACTTCTTAATGATGGCCATTCTGACTGGTGTAGGGTGGTTCCTCATTGTAGTTTTGATTTGCATTTCTCTAATAATTAGCAATGTTGAACATCTTTTCATCTGCTTGTTGAACATCTGGATGTCTTCTTTGGAGAGATGTCTGTTTAGGTCTCCTATCTATTTTTTGATTGGGTTGCTTGTTTTTTTCATATTAAGCTGTATGAGTTGTTTGTATATTTTGGAAATCAGTCCCTTGTCGGTGCATTATTTGCAAATATTTTCTCCCATTCTGTAGGTTGTCTTTTTGTTTTGTTGATGTATCCTTGGTGGTGCAGAAGCTTTTAAGTTTAATTAGGTCTCATTTATTTTTCACTTTTATTTGCATTACTCTAGGAGCTGGTTCAAAAAAATATATATTGCTGTGATTTATGTCAAAGAGTGTTCTGCCTATGTTTTCCTCTAGGAGTTTTATAGTATTTGGTCTTACATTTATATCTTTAATCCATTTTGAGTTTATTTTTGTACGTGGTGTTAGAGAATGTTCTGATTTCAGTCTTTTACATGTAGCTGTCCTGTTTCCCAGCATCACTTACTGAAGAGACTGTCTTTTCTCCATTGTATAATCTTGCCTCCTTTTTCATTGATTAATTGACCAGAAGAGTTTATTTCTGGACTCTCTGTCCTCTTCCATTGATCTGTGTGTCCCTTTTTGTGCCCCTACTATACTGTTTTGATTACTGATGCTTTGTAGTGTAGTCAGAAGTCAGGGAGCCTGACTCCCCCAGCTCCGTTCTCCTTTCTCAAGATGATTTTGGCTATCCATGGCATTTGGTGTTTCTATACAAATTTTAACATTTTTTATTCCAGCTCTATGAAAAATGTCATGGGTAATTTGATAGGGATTGCACTGAGTCTGTATCTCACCTTGGGTAGTATGGCCATTTTAACAATATTAATTCTTCCAATACAAGGACACTGTATATCTTTCTGTTTATGTCATCTTCGATTTCTTTCATCAGTGTCTTATCATTTTCAAAGTATAGGTCCTTTGCCTCCTTAGGTAGGTTGCCAGTGGAGGGGGCGGGGAGAGATGAACAAGCAGAGTACAGAGGATTTTTAGGGCGTGGAAATATTCTATAGGATGTTATCATGATGGATATATGTCACTATACATTTGTCTAAACTCATAGAATGTGCAACACCAAGAGTGAACTGTAAGATAAAATACGAACTTGGGGTGATTATGATGTGTCAATGTAGGCTCATCCTTGGTTAAAAAACGTTTTCTTTTTTAAACTATTCTGGTGAGTGATGTTAATGACAGGGAAGACTATGTATGTGTGGGGTCTGAGGTATAAAGGAAAATCTCTGTACCTCCCTCTCAATTTTGTTGTAAACCTAAAACTATTCTGGAAAAATAGTCTTAAAAATCTAATAATAATCATCACCATCATCATCTGTCCCTATCACAGCTTCAGATAACATTTCTCACACTGCAGTGCATCCCTATTATTATTGAAATTACTCTGGAACAACAACAGAGAGTTTCAAGGGTTTTCTGTAGAAAACACCATGTCTTACTGTAGAGCTGGCCCTCCATATCTCTGATTCTACACCCACGGCTACTGCGGACCAACTGGAAGGAACTTGAGCATCCATGGATTTTGGTATCTGTGAGGGTCCTGTAACCAATCCCTCCCAGAAACCGAGGAACAAGTGTACTCAGAACTAAAATCACAGTGCAGCTGCCTGAGGTGTTCCAGTGGCCAGACATCTGGCAAAAAATAATCCAAAGGTTGGTAGGTAAGATGATCAGAACCCAGGATACATATGCATGGATGTATCAAGCCACCCACACAGGAAGTCCTCACCCACTGGACTCCTCCTAGGCACAATATTCAAATTAAATTCAAGATATCCAATCAAATTTGAATTTCACAATAAATAATTGTTCAGTGTAAGGATGTCCCAAATATTTAACTGGGTGCTTGCCTTGTATTCTTATGTGCAAAATCTGGCAGCTCTATCCTCTTAGAATTCTCCTACAAAGGCATAATAGGAATCTAAGTGACCTTCAGACGGGCTGTGCACTAATTTCTCCTAAAAGAAGCAGGTTTTCTTGTGAGAAATGATCCTTAGCTTCCCAAAGCAGCTTTAAAGAGCCAAGTTAAGCTGAGTCAGAAAGACATAAGAAGAGCTGGATGGAAAGTCGGAAGACAGGAGATCTAATCCCAGCAATTCCTGTAACCTTTTGTGACTTTTGGGCAAGCCACTTAAATCCTGTAAGTCTGTTTCCATATCACATCCTTGGTGGAAAATAAGTGAGTGTCTTTCTTTCTCTAAACTCACGGCAGACATTGGTAATCCATCACAGCGTTCCTTCCCACTGTGCCCAGGGGCAGCCTCAGAATTCTTCTCTGCAAATTCTCCGGGAGGCCGCCATCCACAGACAAGACTACACCGTTGAGAAGAAATCTACTTGTCTTCCTTGAATTATGTGAGCCAGCGCTAATGAAAGTTTGGAATCTTTCATGCTCCAAATTCTACCCTAAAATGTGAGATCATACCTGGTTTCACATCCTCAATTGAAAGAAAAAAAATACACTGCCTTCTGAAGATTTGTTTCCTTTTAAATTCAGAGCAGGGGAAATGAGCACGGGGTCCTGCTTTGACCAGACCTTGTAGGAACTAGTTGGCTCCAGCTGTCCTCAAGGACCTCAGTGGGGGACATGGCAGGTCTTGACTCCCACCCTCATGCTGACCTTGGTTCCATTCTTCTTTGTGTCTCCTTCATTCTGCATCAGGGGCTTCTCATCCCACCCACTGGCTTCCTCACACTCTGTGTATCTTTTCTACCCCATGGATTCTGTTTTCTCCTAATTTCAACCTCTCCTGGCCTCTCATAGTCCAGCACAAGGTCATGGTTTCTTTTTTGCCTCAGCTGCGGTTGCTCGACCTCTGTCTGATCTCCCTTCATTTCCCAGATTAAATGCCCCAGAGTAAGGCTGTCACGTTTAGCTGGCCTGTTTGCCAAGGGGCCACTCTGAGGATAGGTCCTGTGCTGAGTCAGAACCCTCCATTTGTCCAGTCAGCTGGGATTGGAAATACTTCATCTGAAGCATGGTTGTCTGGGCAAAACCCATCAGCAGAAGACGTTAGTGGGTTGGCATCTTTCTCTCTTTCTTTCTTCCTTCCTTCCTTCCTTCCTTTTCAAAAGGGTCTGACAAGCAGGTACCATGATGTTCATAACATCATAGAGTCTATTCAAGGACCAAAGTTGACCGTGTATGTGAAAAGCGACTGTTTTATCTGGTTTCTCCTGAAAGCAGACGCTGAGGCAGGGATCTGGGTGTGAGGAGCTTATTTGGGAGGTGCTGGGAACTCCAGCAAAGGCATGAGGACATGACAGAGGGGCAAGGAGGCAACCCAGGAGGCTGGGTCGCTAAGCAACAGCTGACTGAGGCCTATCCTAGGGGGAGTGAGGAGAAAACACACGCCCCAGAATGAGCTCCCCCCAAAGGGTGAGGAAGCGAAAGTATTTAAGACCAACTCCCAAGAGTCGTTGGTGGAGGGCTACCCCAGGATGTGATTCTCCCAGGACTTCGGGCGTGCGCTGGTGGTCCAGCACAGTGGCCTTCCAAGATTCTCAAAAAAGGCCTCAGGAGCAGACAGAAAAATAAGACAACTGGGTATCACCCAGAGCACCCTGAATTGGTTAAGGTCCACAGGGTACAGGAGAGGCACTGGCATCACCTGCCACAGCACTTGCCAGTTCTCAAATGTCAACTCCATGAGGGCGAGGAAACAGTGCCCAGCACACAACAGACGCTCAATACGTTTTTGAGGGATGAATGAGCGAATGAGTGAGTGACAGGAAGCCCGGTACAAGTGAATGTAACTGTTATAACTGGGACTGTCGTCATGGGCCCTTCATATTTGTCTGCCTCTGTATGCCAATGAAGAGGCAACGTGATGGGAGAGGGGTAAAAGGGAGCGCTGAGCAGGGACAAAGGACCACCAGCTAGGGCCAGAAAAGGCCTGGGTCCTAACACCATCTCTTTTCACACCACTACCACGTCTTGCACAAAGCAGAAGGAACATCATCTTCCTACACACGTTTCAAGTTATATTTTAATGACTTCTTTTCTACAGTTTGTCCTTTATATTTGTTTCAGTTGTAGACAACAATGATCAGTGGGGGAGAGCTATATTTGTCTTTTTCCCTCAGTTCTGTGTTTCCAAGGACAACCCTGAGCCCTACTTTTGGATAAACCCCACCCCAACCACGTCACAAACGAGACGGCAGAAATAAGTATTGTGAAGGCGACCATAGGAACCCATCGTCATCGAAAGGATCTGAGAGGACTTCCGTGTAATCTCACTTCTGACAGTGCTAAGCCAATTACTCAGAAGTCGCAAATGGACCAAAATACTGGCTTTCCCACTGATCCCACAAAATCAGAGACTGCAACTCGGATATGAGACTGAAATAAACTTCCCAATGGTTGTCTCCAGGTCCAGACCCTGTGGGACATTTGCTCTGCAAATCAGAAATTTCTCCAGTCCTCAGAAAGGACCACGGTCGACCTCGCTCCAGGTCAAGTTCATAGAACCTCGGATTGACCACACCTGCAGGTGGCCCTTTACACACAGCCCACTCCCAAGAGTGACACAAAGGCCAGTGTGTTCTAGACGCTTGTCATCTCACCAGACAGGGAAATTACCCCTCTGCCCTTTCTGCACTGGAAACATTGATAATTTCAAGCCAGTAAGAGCACTGAAATTCTTTTTTAAGGTGGCAGGAACTCAGGGAAAGGGAGTGGAGTGCAACAGAAGAGCTGATCTGAAAACCAATTTCCTCTTTAATTCTCAGGGAACTAATAAAGCAAGCCCGCCGCTGGCTACGCTGAGGGAATTGCTCTACAGAAGAGTCATGTCCAATTTCTTTTTCATCCTGTTACACATCGGTGCGTTCAAGTCCATACAAAAGCCGTAAATGCTTCAATAGCCAGGGCTGTGTCTTTTGTTCATTCCATCTCTCACGCAAGGATTGAGAGTAAACTCCGCAGTCAGTGTTTAGCCAAGGAGTGTAAGGATGTCAAGACCCGGGCTCTAATATGTCAAAAGTAAAACTGTTTCTTTAGGAATGTCTCTTCCTTCCCAAAACAAGGCAAGAAAATAGTCATTTTGCTTTTGCTTCAAGGTTGACGTTGATGGGAGGAAAACAGAATGAGGCGGTTTATAGTTTAAGGGCCTGACCTCTAGCGGCCAGCAATGGTAACTCCTCCACGAGAGAACAAATTGTCTCACAAAACCCGACAGGGAGTGAGCTTGGAGAGGCTTCCGAGAGCATCTTTCTCTGCCCCCCTCACGTTGCAGGGGAGGAAACAGAGATCCGCAGAAGATGAGAAACTTGCGCGTGGCCGCTAAGACGGGGCTGGGGCCAAGGTCTCTTTCTTTCACTTCATCTCCTCCATTGCCCAGCACACATTTAAAAGCTACTTTTCCTTATATAGTGCAGTTAATCAACAAACAGAACAACAATGGCAGACTCCAGTTTCAGGCGTCCATTCTGTAATTGCCACAAACCTGATTAGATAAGTGTGGATAGAGATTTCGGTTCCTTACTGGATGAAAAACAGCTGGATGGTAAGGGTCATTTCTTAATTATCTTTGAATCGCTAGGACTTGTCACCATAGCTGCCACACGGTGTCAGGTGGACAGCAGATAGCTAGATGGACAGGTAAATTTTAATATGAAATTAGACATCAGGGGGAGGGAAATAGCTCAGTGGTAGAGCGCATGTTTAACATGCTGGAGGTCCTGGGTTCAATCCCCAGTACCTCCATTTTTTTTAATTATATAAATTTTTAAAAAGAAAGAAAGAAATTAGACATCAATTAAAACTGAAAGCTATCTGCCTAGTTTTCCAATTACCAAAATGGCAGATCTAAGATTTGAGATCAACAGTTCAGTCTTACACTAAAAGCTACCGTCTTAAGCACTTGCCCTGGGGACCCCTGCTACCCAGGAAAGCCTCCCTAAATTTCACAGAAGCAGCCTTTCCGGATCTCTGAATTAACACAGCTGATTCAAGAGGAGATTGTGTTTTTCAGACGCTCAGTCAAAAGTTTTTGCTCTCAAATAATGACCCAATAAAATTTTTCCTTCATGTGTTGGTTTGTTCCTTCAGTCATTGAACACGTATTTATTGAGTGTTTACTATGTGCCAGGAATTTCCCTGAGTGATAAGAACCCAGTGGGAAAGACAAAATGACGGGCCAACCACTAGGCTAGTACTAAGTACTGCGAGAATAAAGAAAGAAGTCTGGTTATCAACCATAGATCCGTGCCCAGTGTTACTGGAGATGTGAATGAGGACACAGCCCTGAAGATTTTCGAGCACAGATCCAAATCTTGAAGAACATATGCGTAAACTCCAGCATCCTTTGGTAAAATAACCCAGTGAAGGGAGAGAATCTTCATATGGAAAGAGGCAAAATTCATGTCTCCTTCCCCCAACTATTATTCCCAGAGTTCACTCAGCTTTTGAGGATATAGAAATCTCCACTGATGCCATCAGATGAGCTCCTGAAATTAATCTCCTCCTTGCCCTTCCATCCCAAGCACAGATATAAACCCTCCTGCAATTCCCCTCAGCACACATAAGACCATGTTGGAACAAGTACAAGATTTGACTCAAGTCTCAGAGAAATGAGAGAGGAATTATAACAATTATTAAAAGACGGTTACTGGAGGTGATGGTACTTGAGACCTACAGGCCACCGTCATGAGGTTGGCCAGGCAATGCAGGATTGCTTCCCTGTCTTGCCCTGGTTAGACATCATATGGCAGTGTCCAAATTTCCCTATTACCCCAGGAAACTCCTGAAGTGTGTCAGAGCCCCTCACAGTCCAAGCCCAAGAGAGCAGAAAGGTGCATGGTGGCAAGTGTCCCTTTCCTTCTGCTCCGAATTCCATCTCTCGTGTAGCGAGAACACAGGCAGCTACCAGCTGACAGATGGCTCTTACTCCAGAAATCCATTTGCTAGACAGGTCTTTGGAATCTGTCGTGCATTTCCAAAAATATCAACAGCATGATTTAAATCAGAGGCAAGTCCAAGAAAGTTCTATTTATACCCTGGTCCATCTAAGGATGTTAGAAATACCACTTCCCAATTTGGCAGAAACCAGGAATGGCATACAGATGCTTCCAGGCACTCTCTATACCCATATATCATCTGCACCAATTTAAGGACCCAGATCCCCTACCAGGTCCCTGAGAATTCTGCATCAGGAGACAGAACACGGTTGCCTCTACAGGGAACTGCAGATAGCAGAGACATGAAAATTCTTGACCTGGAATCAGCAGAGTGGTCCTTCCTAAACTGAGTCGAGCAAACTGTCTATGTTACTTTAGCATTTGTACATTTGAAGGAAGTGCAATACAATTTGTGACATCACAGGACATGGGAAAATAATAGGTGACTCAAAGTGCAGAAGGAAGCAGGGTTTAATGTTTTTTATCAGAAGATACTGTCAGCTGTTCATCAATCTAGTGAGCCCAGCTCCTTGGATAAGAACTTGTTTCAGTGAAGGGTCACTTGTGGGCCTCTTTTGATTATGCAGGTGTAAGACAGGGGGACGCCCACTGCCCTGGGAAGTGGGGATGTCACAGGATTTTCTGTGATGTGGCTGATGCTGCCCTTTCCAAATGTCCCTTGCAGTCTTTGATATCAGTGAATAAATTTGCAAAATGTCCTGGGGATGAATGAGATTTAGACACTGATGTCTTTCCTGCTAAATTTCAACAGCATTAAAACCTCTCTGATAACCTTGACGGTCCTAGTTTTGAGTTAATTAACCAGAAGAGATCCTTGGCATTATGGGGAGGGATGCAACCTGAGGAGAGGGGGGCTGTGGACTGTGTACTGGTGACAGTGGTTCTAATGAAGACTCAGATGACAGGGGCCAGGGTTGGGGAGGACAGGAGGAAGGTGTGTAGTTGTTGGTTCAGGCAGAGCTGTGACTGATGTCAAAAACCTCTCCAGATGCTGTGAACCCTGGTGGATCATGTTGGTGTGAACCATATTGGAGAAACCCAGGTCCCTCAGCCTTGGTGCTTATCAGCATTTTGAGCCAGATGATTCTCCCTCTGGGGAGGTGGGCGGTCCTGTGCATTGTAGGATGTTTAGCAGCATCCCTGACCTCTACCCATCAGATGCCAATCATACCTTCCCCCAAGTTGTGACAACCAAAAATGTCTCCAGACTCTGCCAGATGTCCCCTGGGACGGCAAAACTCAACCCTGGTTGAGAAGCACTGTTAAGAATAGAAGGGGGTAACCCTGGAAATTCAAATGTGAGGAGGCTGGTAAGGGTGTTTGGAGCATCAGACACATCGATGTAGCCGAGGGCAAAAATGCTCGGACCTCTTGGGGGCCGTTTCCCACAGAAGCCTGCCGGCTGACTCTGTTCTGTCTTCACTGGCATCTGGATACAGGACTACTGTTTGAATCAAGTAAACTTCTCAAGACTTATGAACAACTCCAAGTGAAAATGAGGCTTCAAGGATGTCCTGCTAATAAAAGCAAGCACACTCTCAAGCAACTAATTAGAAAATGAGAATGTCATGATGTTATTTGTCCCCTAGGCTGGTGATGCCGGTCACACCTGTGAGACGCACTTAAGGGAAGTAGCTAGAAAAAAAGAGAATGTGAAAAATGTAGGAAAATAACTTTTCCAATGAGAGAAATGTGAGAATTCACTACTCATACTGGAGCAGCAGTTTTCTCTATGTAAGAGAGTCTGCAGTTATTTCAAATCATGACATGTGTCTCCAAATAAAATGATTCTTACAGCATTTTATTCTCAGTAGCCCAGACAGCTCTCTTAGGCAGTGAGAATGTTGTGACATGAAGCAAGCAAGAAGAAAGTGTTGCGATTCAAAACTGGTTGAAAATCGTAGCCCTGGAGGAAGAAAATTAAATGCTTTATTATCTATGAAATACAAATAGCCTCCACAACCAATATATCTGAGTCAATAAGTGTTTCTCTCCATTTACTATAGAAACAAGAGGTTCAAATTTACTGGAGTTCAAGTTATATTGCAGGGGGAGATGTGTATCATTCAGTAAATTGGAAAATATAAATCAAATGTTGAAGAATGTGCTTTTATAAAATTTATGATTGAAAGGTGATTCTTCAGCTTCCAAGTTGAGCCTTATTTTAGTGATGTGTTTTCCCCTGTGATACATTTTTCTTTCATAGAAAATGAGTCACCTACAATCAAAAATATTATAAAATTCCAAGAGCCAAGTGAGAATGACACATTCATCGAAAGCTGAAATTACACTCCATATGTCCAGGTGTGAAAAGCATAGTTCAGCCATTTACTGACTTAAATAATGCCCCATTGCAGCTTTCTTCCAAAGACAATACAGCACAGGAGTTTCACCTCAGGTGCTATAATTTTCCCATGTTTATTACAGTGTTCTAATCTTCCAAGGAGACTTCAACTACATCATACTTTAGTGGCATTACCCTTGAAAGCATTGAATGCATTTGTCATTTTTTTTTGGTTATACATGCAAAATTATGTGCCTCAGAGTTCCATGTTAAAAAAAATAATGACTATATTTCATTCATCTATTCATTCATTCATTCATCTATTTATTCATTTTTTTAAAAAATGTGACTGCTACAGTTATTACTGCTTTGTAACAAATGATCCCAAAAGAATCCCTTAAAAGAATCATTTTGTTATGCACATAGGTTCTGTGAGTCAGGAATTTAAACAGAACAGAGCTGCTCAAATAATCTCTACTCCACAGTATCTGGGGCCTCAGCTGAGAAAACTTGAACCCTGTGAAGTGGCTCAGTGTTTAGGGGCTAGAATCCTCCAAAGGCTTGCTCAGGTGCATGTTCTAGAGCCTTGACTTGAGGACAAAGGTTGCCAAACAGAAAATGTGCACATGACTTTTCCAGGTGGCCTGACCCCCTCACAGCATGGTGACCTCAGAGTAGTCAGACTTCTTCTTTGAGACTCTAAACACAAAAGTTCTAGCAAACAACATAGGAACCATATTATCTATTATGACTCAGTCTTGGAACTCAGTGAGCAAGCCAGCATCACTTCCCCCACACTTTGTGGGTCAGTGCAGTTACAAGTCCACTCAGACACAAAGGGAGGGAAAACAGACTCCATTGCAAGGAATAACAGTGAATTTGAAGGTCTGGTTTTAAAACCACCACAGGAGCATAACAAGATTGATCACAGGATGTTTGTTACTGGGAATAGTAAAAGGAATAGAACTACCTATATGTTAGCGTTTTAAAATAATAAGGAAATAAAATAATAAGGAATATTTTGAAAACCTTTATGCCATCAATTTTTAAACAAAGAACGGACAATTTCCTAAAAATATGTAATATACTAAAACAAGAAGAAATGCAGAATTTGAATAGGCTTATAAGAACAAAGAAAATTGTAATAGTGGTCAAAAATCTAACTACAACCAACCCCTCCTCAACACACACACACACACACACACACACACACACACACACCCCATTCTTCAAAGAAGATGTACAAATGGCCAAAAAGTACAGTGAATTACCATACTCAGCATCACTACTCACAGGGAAAAGCAAATTAAAACCACAGTGAGGTACCACTTCACACCTCCTAGGCTATCATCAAAACATGGAAAATAACAAGGGTTGGTGAGGACACACAAAAATTAGAGCACTTGCCCGTGACTGACGGGAATGTAAAATTGTTCAGCTGCTATGGAAAACAGTTTGGCAGCTCCTCAAAAAGTTACACATAGAATTACCATGTGACGCAACAATCCACTCCTAGGTATATATACTGAATTGGAAGTAAGGACTCAAACAGGTACTTGTATGTGACTGTTCATTGCAGCATTATTCATAATAGCTAAAAGGTGGAAATAACCAAGTGTTCACCAGCAGATGAACGAACAAGCAAAATGTGATCTATGCATACAATGGATTATTATTCAGCCTTAAAAAGGAATGATGTACTGACACACACTACAATGTAGATGAACCTTGAAAACACCCTAAGTGAAAAGCCAGGCACAAAAGGACAAACATTGTATGATTCCACTTCTATGAAATATG